ATACCTGTCTCTTATACACATCTAGATGTGTATAAGAGACAGCTCTCTCTCTCTCTCTCTCTCTCTCTCTCTCTCTCTCTCTCTCTCTCTACCTATTCAACCCACCTATTCAACCCACCTAACACCACGAAGACTTTCACGAAGTCCACGATTTGACAGGACAACCGTTATGCAACACACACAGTAGAATTATCAAGCTGCCTTTTCTTTCGCGGACCCCCTCCTTACGTGGCACTGCTTTCCTCTTCTTCGCCCCTGCTCTGCTGCCATCTCTTTCCGCCTGTCTGGCGTCCATCCGTTCCTGTCTCTCCTCAGCTCTCGCCTTCTCGTTCAACATACCTTGATATTTCTCAACCTAGCGAGGCTTCGACAACCTATCCACCTGTCTCATGTCCCTGACCTCGATCGTCACCCTGTTCGAATGGATGGCCACCTCGTTGGTGTTCTCGAAATTGGCGACTAAGTACGCCTCGGCAACCTCCATCAAAGCACGCACCGCCGTCATCTGAAACCTCACGCCCATACCCGGAGCAATGTCCCGCTCCACAACCTCGCGTACGAGACGCAAGAACGGTCCGAAAGCCAAGCAAAGGTCGGTGGATCGTTGCAACTTTCTGATTTCCGACAAAGTTGTCATCCCGGGGCGTCGACGGCGTCTGGGGACCTGAGTTCGTGCACCTGCGGTGTCTCCGGTCCCTGGCACCGCCTTCGGGTTCACCTTCTTTCTGCCTGCGGGCGTCTGTCCACGTGGCGGTCCCGGCGTGCACTTCTTCTTCTTCCCCGGGCTCTGCGACATCGCGACATCGCTCGGCCCGCCCATGTCACCCTGTGCTGCAGAGCACCCCCCGACGCGACCAGTACCACATGGGCCCTCCACCTCAACAAACAAACGGAAAATTTCTGAGCGCTTCTTTGTCCTCTTGTCTGCCTGCGTTGAACTTGGCAAGCCATCCTCCGACATGTACCGAATGTCTCGCAGGAGTCCATTTGAGTAGGTCAGATGGAAAGGCACACCAAGCGGGTCTCTGAATCTCATGGTGACGTCTTCACCATGCTCATATGTCATGGGACATACGACCGGGACCCAACCAAGAACGGTCGTGCAACCGTGCCTGCGGCGAATGCTAGCCATGTATCTGTTCTCACCGTCGCCGTGCTCTTGGGCCATACAACTCCCCTCAACCATGGACCTCATCCCCTGGTCAGCCATGGAGTCATAACCCGCGCACACCATCTGACGCTCCTCCTCCCTTATCTTCTCTCAGCACCACTTTGCATGTTCAACCACCAGGACGTGGTCCTTTACATTCACATTGAAAATTGAGACACGTGCCAGAACCACGAGGAACTGCCAATGCTCCACAATGCCCGTATGCATCCATCCCAATGGGAGCCAATGCCCTGATTGCAGTCTTGCTGCCATCGTCACCTTGCCATCAACCACTGCAGGATGCAAACATCCTGGGACCCAATTGACACGATAGCCATACTTTTCAGGGGCCATTTGCTGCTGCAACTGTTCTTCAGGGATGACACGGGCCCCAATGTCCATGGCAGATAGAACGTCACTCCTCATTGTGACATGGTCCCATATCTGCGAGCATACTCCATCCTACGTGGCTTCCTGCCCTCTTGCATGCGTGTATGTGCTGCCATCCTCACCAGTGAAAACTTTCCCTTCAACCACCTCCGAGTCCACAGGGTTCCGAAGCGGCGGGAAAAAGCAGCCAGCATTGTGGGTATTACATGTCATTGCCTTTTTCTCGTCTTCTAAGACCTCCCTGTCGAGGTGCCTGAAGGAGAAGTTGCCATTCACATAATGCGTGCTCCAGACATTTCCCATGGCATCACGCATCATCATCCTCACACGCCCACATGGAATCGGGATCACACATGGCACCCAACCCCACATAGGATCCCTCCTCGCATCGCTCTCGTGGCACATCGTACCCCCTGTTGCGTCGTTCCCGCTAATCACCCATGCCTTTTCGCAATCAAAACTGTCGTACAAAAACTCGTTCAGCCTGAACTCGCCCTGCGCCTCCAGAACATGCCACACGTCCATTGCATATCGTGCTTTCACCTCTGTCATTGCCTCATCGTTCAACCTTAATAGTCTGTCAAACACGATTGCCAGAGTCACGTTTCGCCATGTATTCTTTTTGGGGGCAGGAAATGGAACCCATGACCCTTCGACTTTGAACGCAAAGCAGGGTGCTCCTCCAACAATAACCGGTTGAACATGACCCGGCACCCAATTGATGTCATATGGGTACTCTTCTCCTGCTGATGTCTTCACCACATTTTCATCTTTCACAATACACGCTGTCAGAGATTCCCTGCTTCCCAGACCTCCCTCCTCTCTCTCTTCCCCAACCGTTTCCGTCTCACAAGTGCTCCCTCCTGCGTCATTCTCTGTCTCATCACCATCACCCACCATCTCTGCAGTCTGTGCACATATTGTTGCAAGCACCTCTGCACAGTCTGCGCTGTTCCCTCCTGCCGAATTCCCTTCCTTGCTGCCATCTGCAAAACCCTTCAGACTGTCCTCCGTCTCCATGGCGCATGTCTCTCCACCGTTGACAGTCGATGCAATCGCGGGTTCCATCTATAATTGCATGAGACACCACATACATTTATGAGAACACGTAGCTGCGACATGCCCCCCTCACCAGAGAGAGAGAGAGAGAGAGAGAGAGAGAGAGAGA